CCACGCACACCACGCCAGTCACCACTGCTGCTGGCGCACAGCAAAGAGAAAGGTCAGCCAACAACGCGCTGGTCGCATCTACCATCACCGCTCTACGCCCCCCCGCTGAAGCGCCCCCGGAGAACTATGGATTCCTCATTCCCTGTCCGGTATTGAATAGGGGCTATCAGCTGTGAAGATAACGCCACACCTATACCTGCTCCTAGCAGAATCGAAGCACCTCATTGTGAAAACATCAACACCGGCGTTGAAACTATCACTCCGAGAGGTTTTTCAAACAAGCCGCCCTACAGAAAATAGTTTAACACCTCCAGAGCCTTACAGTTCTCTCACACGCCCTTACTGTTGAGGGACAAAAAACCCAAGTAAGCCTCCAAAGAGCTAGATTTCATTTAACAAAACCCCATTCGATCCTACCCGACGCCAGCCTATTACACAACCCTGGGTCTCCCTCTGCATCAAGCAAGTTTTTACACATTTATGCAGAGCAGGTTTAGAAGATGCTTAGAATAATTCCACAAATCCTAACATGCCCCAGAGCACCCTCTTTCTTGTCTCTCAGGCTCGTACAGGTCTTCCCTGTATACTACTGATATTTTCCTTAGTATCTTAGAGTTTTATATAAATACCCAAACACACAGACACGCAAATACATATGTAAAATATTGAAATATTCCATCCTCCCCTTCACAAAATGGTACAATCTTTTTCAGCCCTTTCCTTGCACCGTGCCTCGCAATTTTAAAGAAACAGCGCACGTTTCCTCACAGGATATAGAAGGTATACACTGCAAAGTGGGGCAAAGGGGCAGGAATTCTATATTGCAAATAGTAAAGCTTTAAAAATACCAACAAAGCGGAACGTTCTAACATAACAAATGAAGAGCTCTACATTTAAAAAAGACCTCATTATTTCAGTATCTCTTTGTTTGCTTGTTTAATCATCCCCTGGGACAATCTGTACTGTTAAGAAACGTGTAGAAAACAGTCATCAGTTTTTGTTGTTGTTCAATTAGTGCTATACTCAGTGTTTGAGCTCATGCAAGTGTCCTTTGGGGAAACGTCCTGCGTGCCATTAGCACTATTCTTAATGAGGGAAAGCATGAAACTCCTTTAGTGCGCTGCCAGAATTGTTTTATCTTCAAGTCAAAAGAACAACTGCTTGGAGTAACCCCAAAAAAAGCATTTAACAATTGCAAGTGGCAAACAATATTCCCAAGCATTATACTCATAGTGCTGTTCTATTTATAGGCTAACAGTTATTATACTGAATAAAATACGTATTAGGCATCTTTATCATGCAGACAGTCATGATTCCCCAGTTAAGGCTACTACGATGGTTTCCATTATAAGCCCAGTTTTGATCCCTTTTACTCCTTCTGAGGGAGGCAGGGTGGGGAACAGGAGGATGTTTCATGTTTGGTTTCAAGACAAAGGAGAATATTTTTAGGAAGTTTGAGGTTAATTAGACATGCTGCTTTTGAGATATGGGACACAGGCGTTTCTTTATTCTTTTCTGAAGAAAAAAAGGCGGTTTAATGGCAATGTTTGTGTTCATAAAAAGCTTTTTAACTCATTCTCCAGAATTTCTTTAAAATACAGAATCATAATTGAAAACTGAGTAAGGAAGGTCAAGACTTAGAGCTCTAGGAAATCCATAAAGACAAAAGATCTAGCACTTTTCCTACCTACAGATATTTTTGAAGAGGCAGGCAAGCTTTTTCCACTGCGAAAAAAGCAAAGCAACAACTAAAGAACACTAAATTTCAAATCAAAACCAAAAGCAACGTTCTTAACTCTTACCACTGTTTTTCCCTCTCAATTACAGTTCTTCATGAACTGTGGGGGCCAGGGGGAATAAAGCATTCCCTGCTCTTTATCTAACTGTCCCCTCATTCTTCATGTCTCTAGGTTTTCTACCTCAGCTTCGTAGTCTGTCTGGCAAGCATCTCCACATCTCCATCACCTCCTTGATCCTAGATTCAGCGCAATCCAGATCAACAAGTGCCTGCACGTTCCGTTTTTGCCATCCCAATGGCTAACTGGAGAGCAGAGGAGTTAATGAACAAGGTAAGAGTAATGCTCAGGCTGAAAGTCTGCATTTCATACTTGTCATACACACAAGCTCATTTAAACAATGCCTAAAAGCATTCCCCATCTTCTCAGTGACACACGCCCTGACAAAACATATACGGTGGACATCAGCTGGAGCAAACTCCCTTCACTGAGCAGCAACGTGCGGATGAACCAGAATTTCAGTAGACACTGTGTATGACCTACAGAAATGGAATTAAGGCAGCTTATTTCAGTTGTATTTTATGAGGAAAGAACTACTTAATTACAGAAACAATGGGGAGATTTCAGGGCCAGGCAGTATTTTACAACTGAGGAGATTCCACAGACTTGCCACTGACTCATGTCACCTGACGAGAGGAAAAAGGTAAAAGTACAGCCTTTGTGAGTGTTAACTCCAAACCAACGCAGAGCAAACTCTGAGGGCTTCAGAGCTGCCACGGGGTGTGTGTGCTGTGTATTTCTATCTTTCGGTTCCATCCAAAAAATGCGGAGTTCAGCCACTTGTTTGAGAGACTGCACACCTGACTGCTAGATAGATGGACAGCAGAGCCGACTTCTCCTGCCCTTTATTATGCAGTGTACTATTACCTCTTTGCCTTCCTTTTTTTACCTAGAGAGGTCAGTAAGATTCATTCTCTGAAGTCACCTTAAGTCAATAATAAGAAAATTCTTGAAATCTATGACAATCTCACTCATTACAAGTCCCATGCAAGTGTATGGGACATGCTGTTGTACGTATAAAAGCTTTGAGCTGCGGAGGCACTGAGTCTTCACGCACACGCAGCAGGCCTCTAACTTCCTCTGCAGAAGTCTGCAGTAATTTGGCCTGCTCTCCCAGTCATTTTAAGAGGCCGAGATTTAAGGCACTGGGGAAAAGAAATGCTGAATTGTTTCCGATAGCATCATTTCAATTGTTTTCTGAAGAGTTTATTCAGGTCCATTTTGATGGTCAGAAATGATTACGCAGGAGAATCAGTATAGCTGACTGTGTATGAGTATCTACCAAACACACAAAGCAAACCTGAACCGAAATTTTTTCATTAATTTCTTTATTTTCTGGTTGCTATGGCTAGCTTTAGTTTATAGAGCTTTCATATAAATATTAAACTTTTCAGGTTGGAAAAGATGTATTTTTTAAAAACCAAAATGAGTATTTTATTTTCAGTTAGAGGAGAGGCAGTGGCAGTAGAAATGTAGTATCAGGTTTGCTCACTTGCTTTGTAAGGCATTGGTACATACGCAAGTTACCACGCAGCGAGTTTCCATCTGCCGGCTACGCAGGCCTTACTGTATTACATCTGCGACGAATGCAAGCTAACCCCAGGCAAGCTGCCCCTCGGTAAAAATAGAGGGAGGTACACCTCTGAATCTACCCACACAAAGCCACGAACTAAGAAAACAGAGACAATTCACAAGAAGGAGCTGATGCAGAGGAACTGGTTGCCCACAATTTTGCACAAAGGGCAAGGCTGACAGCTTGTATCATGAGGTCTCACACAGATTCATGAGGCAGCAGACCTCGGATGCTGCTGTTCTACAGACAGCGTTACATGAGTCACACAGGACAACAAACGGCATGGGTTACTCAGCCAAGGTTTGCAAGTCCCAGTGACACTTTCAAAAAGTGTACTTCGTAACACCGAACGCAAGGATTTTCAGCTTCTATAAGCAGTAGATAAGATGAAAATCCAAATGCATTTTCAGGATGTCAAGATACTAATAATATACTTGGGACTAGTTTTGTTCGCAGTTTGAGGTCACCTGTAGTGCCGGAGTTTCACATTATCTCTTTATTGCCTCATCACAGTACTAAGCCAGAAATAGCAGCAAGATGCACACAGATCGTAAGCAGCTCTTCTAAGAATAACCACTTATATTTAATTTGAACAACCCAATGCACCACAAGTAAGAGGACTGTGGAACTGAAGCTGAGCCGTTGAAGACTAGAATGGCAAGCTCCTTCTGCTTCAGAAATGCCAAACTGTGCTTTCACCCAAGAGCTGTCTAACTCTTAACAAACTTAACTTTGTGTAAGACCTAAGTACAGGTCAACCTGTGCACTGCTTGTCTGTAAATCACATAGATGTATTTCCTGCTAGTTATCAAATCAATCCTGTGGGCATTTTTAAACAATTAAATCATTCGGGGCAAACCTTTAGCTCTCCTCAGCTGAAGAAGTCTTGCCTGAACAAGGAAACATATACAGGATTCCAATATGTTTAAAACAAGATTGATAAACACAAGGCACTTTTATACCATGACCAAGGTGTCAAAGAAGCAGTTACAGATTTTATTCATATGATGCCACACACAAGGCATAAACATTTTAGGTAAGATTCAAATTGTCAGCAAAGAGTCAGCAAAGAAAGATGATTGACACCGAGAGTCATGAAAGCACTAGGACTCGCTCTCTCAAGGACGTTTAGTCAAGACTGCTGTTCGCAGAGAGGAGTGGAAAAAGATGTGCTTGAAACAGATTTAATGCTCTGATTTAACACTGGTAACACAGAGGCAGAAGGACATTCTGAGTCTTAAGAAGAAAGAAAATGCTAATCTAAGGATTTTAATTCATGGGATCATTTTACAAGATAGTCGCTCCCGCTCTCCTCCCAGAAATTACAGCCCTTCAGGTGGGTAAATGAGTGTGTTGCACATCCGTCACAGAGGACCAGCCAGTACATTCATTACAACTACTCCCTGCTTCAGTTTAGCTCAGGGTCAAAATTTTTCCAGTTGTAGTTTACCATTTAAATCTTCCTTTAACTGCAGTGATAGAACTAACCACAAAGATTAACCCAAGTCCCAGTTTAAAGCCATAGAAACGCAACAAATGCAGGGCTGCGGCATGAAGAGGAACCACTGCTACATAAAGACAAACTAAGCTTAGTGCAAAATATCATACTTCTCTACTTCAAAATAATTTACCTGGTGATATAGCTCTGTGGAACTGATACATGTCTTCTCCAATCAGTTCTTGTGCAACCTGCTTAATCTTCCGCCGGACACCGTCTAGCTTGACTTCAGATTCATTTAGTATTTCTTCCCCATTGGGCGCACTGCAATCGTAAAGCAGAAACTGAAAGAGCAGCTTTTGGAACCTGAGCAATCTCTTAAAAAATATTATACATTTTCTTTCACTAACCAATACATTTTCAGTGGCTTCAGGAAAAAGCAGAGCTGATATTTGAATCAGAAACAGTTTGACTTGCACTGATACCTACTGTGGATTCTGAAATTCTGTAGATTCTTACAATGAAAATAATCAACCTGCAAACACAGTTCTGGTAAGAACAATGAGAAACTCATCCAAAGGCTTCAAAAATATTCTGGAAAACCATCAGTATTTGCAGAAGTCCTTCAACCTCTTAAAAAAAAAAAAAAAGAAAAATCTGCAATACATTTCAGTATTGCAAAATACAATATATGATCTACTTCTACATGTGATTTTTTTTTAGAAAGTAATTATTCAGGAACAGCTGAAATCTCCGATTTGCAACCACAATATGTTTGGCATTTAAAGTTTAGTTAATCTGATTTCCTTTAAACTTCCCCCTCCCACACCCCCGAATAATCTATATGCTACATTAGTTTACAGCCTATTTAAGGAAGTACTGATAGATCGGTCTCGAGAAAATGTATAAAAGCAAACAGATTTCCAAAAGTAAAGCCACAATAACAGCAAAAAGCAGAGGAGAAGGAAATAAAAATACGGCATGGAAAGCTTCCACTCTCACAAACACAGGAATATCTTACAAAACAGGAATCTAAAATTTGGAGTAAAGAGGAGGTTTTTTGTTGTTGTTCTTTCCTCTACCAGTTCCCAGCATACCTGGCCCCGGCAGTGGGAGTAGCTATTTACAGTCAAGGCTACAGTGGTTACTAGAATTATCACAATGCCTCCCTGCAGCAGACAAAGTTAAAGAGAGGGCAACTTCATAATCCCTATTTATAACGGTTACTACTGTGGCAACTATAAATCGTTACCACTACAGCAGAAAGGCATTGATAGGTAACAAAAAATAAATTTGGGGAAAGGAACAGGGAGAGCTGTTATAAAGACCAACGTTTGACACATACAATAAACATTTTATACAACAGGCTATGCAAAGCTCCAGATTTTCCTGTTATTATTCTCGTTTGTCTGAGGCTTCCAAAGGTTCCTTGAAGGCTCATGAGAACACAGGTAGAAGCTCAAGACTTCACACAAGAGCCTCGCAGGCTGCAGTACATATTGAAGTAAACAGAAGCCGAGCGGCCTCCTCTTTGCATTGATGACCTAGGGTGGGGCTGCAAAAAGCCAAAAGGGTGAAGTAACTGCAGAAGCAACTAACCTGAAGGAAGGGTGCATGTGGTTCTCTCCCAGCTTCCTGAAAGCTCTCATCTGCTGTTACACTCTACTACTCTGATCCTCTTTAATACGTCAATAAAACCAACTGAGAAACCTGAACCAGCACCTTTTAATTCTCCAACTGGAGTGTGCATTCATCAGCTCACATACACCCAAAAGGATGTTTATGGGAAGTTAATTAAATTCCTTGCAACAGAACACTGCAGCTATTCATCGCAAATACAGACAACACCGCAAGGCAGCTTCTGTGAACGCTTCCACACCCACCATGACTCACCTGATAAATCTGTGGAGCAGAAATATTGTTCTTTTGCTTTCGATCGTTATATCACGACTGAGCTTCACAAGCCGTTCGTATTTGTCATGCCTGGTGTCGAGCTCCAGCTGAAACGCTGCAGGGTCAATCGTTACAGCAACAAGCGTGGTTATCACGTTATTAACAAGCGCAGGGGAAGAGCAGAAAGCCCATGCTACGCTAACTGCTCATGGGCCCAGCCCCACCTGCCTTTTCCCAAGGTGGGCAGCCGCAGCTTCTCCTGCATGGGGCACAGCTGTGGAGGCCACTGCTGCCCGCCACCTGCCGGAGCTGCCCAAGTCACCATTAACACTGCTTCTGTTTCATAGGCCAGGTTGAAATATCCAGCAACCCTGACGATGCTTTACGGCAGCCCCAAAATTTTAAGGTAAAACAGTTGTTTTAACTAGTAAAATCTGTTCTGCAATACTGCTGTTCAGGAAACTGACAAAATTTCACCCAAATTCAGCAAGATAAATAAAAAACCAAACCCCTACAATCATGAGTGAGTAAGACTCACCAGTCTCTAAAGCAAAACAAAGGCACTTGACTAAGACACACACACTCTTAAAAATGTACTATTCAGTAAAAAGAAAGGTTGCGTATCACATCTCAATTATACTTGGCCAAAAGTCTAATATTTTAGAATCCCTAAGAACTAGAAACACAAAAGCAAAGTAAGATCAATTTCTTAAAATAAGATCTCTGACTTACTGATGTAAATAGTCTCTGTCTAACTACAATGAATAGAGAGGAGAGAGGATGTATATCTGGTTATCACAGCCAAATACTATGAATGCTTCGCAGATACCGTTAACATTTTATAGACCATTATTCCACTAAATAAAACATTAATGGATATTTATAAAACATCTAACACATTCCCTGCATGACTGTCTGAGGTGTCCAAGTGTCCGTGTGAGAAGATGCTGAAAATAAGCTAAGAGGCTACATTTTTAAAGGGTCTGCCAAAAAACCCAAACAAATAAACAAGCAAATATCCTTTGGAAAAGCATAGCAGCTTGCTGGCAAGCAAAGAGTAGATGAAGCCACAAAAGTAACTGTATTTCTCATTGCCTTGATAAAAAACTTGGTTCCTCTTATTTTATGCTGTTCTCCTCAATCTTCTTCTGAAACTCTAAGTCACAAATATTGATCTTTTAAATCTTTCACGTCTTCCAAATCATGAGTCAAGTCCACCAATGAAATATCAAGAAGAAATTTTCCTTCAGATCACAGTGACAGGAATTTGAGCGAGGGTGACAGCTACTTTCTTTCACAGGATGCCATACATGACATTTCCAATGACCAAAAATGAAGAGGTGACCAAATGACCAAAATGATTTGCTCAAAAAACGGAGCAAGTCATGAGTGAGGTGGAGCTACGTGAAATCCCACTCTCAAGACTCAGTGCACAACAAGCAGAACACCAAGCTCTAAATGTATGAAGCATGAGTCCAACTACCCTCAAGTGTCTCCCCCAGAGAAAGCTGGTTTATTCCATCACTAAATATTAGTATTTTCCTAAAAATTTCTGTACCACGTGTTTTTATAATCTGGCTTTCCAAATGCTTACTCACATTTAAAAGAGGACATCACAGCTGAAGATGGATTAAGATTTTCTTTTTCCTCTCTTCTTTGACCATGTGGAAAATTGTCATGCTTTCGTTTTCTGAACCCACCCGATCCTATTAATAGAAGATACACACAATAAAATAGATTTTAAAAGAAAGTAATTTTGCCAGAGCATAAGCAGCATCAGAATGCTGTCTTCAGTGCATTCCTGACTGTAGCCATATTTTACAGGATAGAATAAGGTAGGTGGATAAACCTTATTACCAAATGACATCATCTGCACATTAGCATCCTACTTTTTCCACCACATTCCTAGTGAAAATTAGAAAAAATCCAACAATTTCAATGGATGAGTGTGGCAGGATCATAAATACTTTGTTTTGGTTTGTTTGTTTGTAAGGTCTTCACACCCTTTTATATCTCCTTTCTGTAAGGGAATGGCTGCGTGGAAATCCTTGTGTGAGCAAGGGCCTACAGGATTAGACTTGTTTTCCCCTTCCCTTTCTTTTAGTCTTAAATATTCCGCTTGACAAGAGTTATTAAAAGTACAAGTTTTTCATTACTGTAATTATCTATGTCATGGGTCTTCAGTAATCAGAAAAAGAAGCAAGGCATAATTTGAGTACCATTATCCTGGCATGCAAATTTAGGTCCTGCAGCATAGCATCTTACGCCCTTACACTGTCTATTAACCAGTTTCTTCTCACCCTGATATAGTTGTTCCTTTCAACCGGCCTTATATGCCTCTTCCTCAGCCTCCCTTTTCAAACCCTCATCCAGAATTCATCTCTTTTCGACTGTGTTTTACTACTGATTTACACTTTGTACCGTTTCTTCCTTTTGTCCTTCCTCCACCCAGGGAAGAGAGAGGCCATAAGGAGATGGAGAGCTGGGGAGAGGGCTGACTCGTTGCATCGTTCATGTTTTAAACCCCTCCTCCCTCTCGCTACCTCCTTTTTGTGACAGCTGTACACTTTGTGTTCCTAAAAGAAGCCAAAATTTGGCAAACACTTACACACAAGCGTACCTTTTTGAATATGTGGAGCTCTCTCAATTTCCTTAAAAGAAGAACAAAAGGAAGCTACTTAAAAGTTACAGACGAACACTGGATTTTAAAATGTTTCCATTTAATTGTTTATTATCCCAAAGCAAAACTAGAAGTGGGTGTAGTTACTTTCTAAAAGAGGAAACTGAAAATCATTTTTTCCTTCTTTTCTGTTAGGACATGAGTTCAGGGTTTTGTTCTTCCTGCAGCAGTTGAAAACATTACAAACGCAACCCCTGAAATAGTGCAGAGAATTAAACTCTCTGCAGTATTCCGAAAGTTAGGAACATCATAATGACCTACAGGAAAAAACATGCCCTCCTGAAGTGAGAGAGGGGAAGACAGAACCACAGAATGGTTTGGGTCGGAAGGGATCGTTTAAGATCATCTAGTTCCACCAAATAACCAGTAACTTGAATATCAGAAAACCACAAACTGTGCTAAATTAATCTTAATTTTTAAAAAAAGCCAGTTTCCTCGTTGCAGAGCCTATTTCTGGCTGACGGGAGGTCTGTGTGACTGTCGAGGCCAAACCACTGTTACCGAAACACCAACACGCAGGTCGCAGAGGAAGTGCTGCGTTACTGAGGGTTAGTTACCGCTACAAGCACTTTACAGGCCTAACGCACACTCGGCTTTTGGCTGTAGCAACTGCTTTTTAACGGCCAGGGATGAAGATTTCTAAAACTTTCACGGGCACATCTGTAAAGCCCAAGCGAGAAGGCAGTAACGCTTCCAAAGAAAGGGCCTCTCTCAGTGTAAGGACAGAGTTCAGGGACACAGCTGAAGGGAACCACTGATTCACGGCAGAGGCTCGCACCTCCGCTCCCTCCCAGCTG